CATCTGTTCCTACCTGGACATGCAGGCCCTCGGCCGCCTGGCTCAGGTGTGCCGCTGGCTGCGGCGCTTCACCAGCTGCGACCTGCTCTGGCGCCGGATAGCCCGGGCCTCTCTCAACTCCGGCTTCACGCGGCTCGGCACCGACCTGTAAGCGCCCGCTCGTCCGCCCGCTCCCCGCCCCGGGCCGGCCCGCGTCCCGGGAAAGGGCGGGGCGCCGCGGCCTGGTCGGCCTGGGGCCGTGTCGCACCCCGAATTCCGAGGCCCGGACCCAGCCTCCGTCGACCCCTCCCCGAGCACCCTTCTGCTCTCGGAGGCCCCCATCCAAGGAAGTCTCCCACTAGCATCCCTCAGTCCGCACCCTCCCTGTGGGCGGCTCCCCACAATTAGCCATCTTATGCACTCTCTTCAGCTTTTAGATATGCCTTTTCGCAGACGTTGACCTATTGGGTTCCTCAGCCCCAGAGGAGCCCGTCTGGTCTGTGCCTTTAGAGGCCTCCTCCTGTCCAGGTGTAGGACACATGTCCACTCTGGCCTATCAGAACGCTTTTGTGGACTTTCATCCTGTTACCCTCTTCTAAAGGTTAGGTTTTAGGGCTCGGATAAAATGGAATATGGAGAAAAGGGCTCAGGCCCCAAAAGAAGGCGCTTGGTCCAAGTGTCAACCATAGTTGATGACTTGATACAGGCAGAATGACACAAAAAAGGGTGCCTGCTTAATGGCACGGGGTTGGATGAGATCTAGACTGTATACAAAAGCATGGTATTGCAGTTTGGCCTATTCTTGGTAGGATCTGAGACCTGTAAGTGAAAAATTTTCCTGAACCACCTAAGCTGTTAAATAGCAAGGGGAAAAAAATGTATGAAGTTGGGGGAGTAGAAGCTTTCAGTAGAAGCTTGCACCCAATTCCACTGAATTTGGGTTAGGGGGGAAAAAAAGGTAGTTCTAATACAGTATAACAACATTAAAGAAAGTTGGTTTAAACATAAAAAGCTGTAATACCGTCACCTCTAGACAACTATTCAGATGTTCAGTTGTAAAAATTACTTTTCATTTGCACACAGTTTCCCACACTTAGTTGCTATCTTACTGATCCTAATAGAACAGGTACATAACAAATGTTTGTGGGCTGTGCCATGATGAGATAAAAAACAGTCCTCTAATATTGGACTTTCATGTTGTATCCAGGTTTTAGCTATGATAGAGAACAAGGAAATGAATAATTTAATGCATTTTTTGGGTAGCAACTTTATTGAGATATGTCACATACTGTATAATACATGTCTTTTTGAATTAATTCCTTAGAGTAAATTCTCAAGATTGGCATTATTGGGTCAAACATTGTGTTTTGTGAAAAGTTGTTATACCAAGTTACAGTGGCACCAGTCACGAATGATTAAACCAATTTCATGTGAGAATTTTAAAAATCTTTACTATTTTAGTGAATATATAAAAGTATCTCAAAATTTTGGTTTATCCACTATGCAGGATAAATACTTTCCCATGTGTTTGTTTCACCTCTGAGATTGTCTGTTCCTAGTCTTTGCCTATTTATTATCGGGATCTTCATGTTTTATAAAGGATTCCAGTCCTTGTGGATCATAGATGTTAGGCTCTAGTCTGTCATTTTTGATGCAAATATTTTTCCCAGTTCGCTTTCTTTTTACTTTACTATTTTTAATCTATAGAAGACTTACACTTAAGTATGTCAGAATCTGTCAGTTTTTGTGATTTTTTTCACCCCAAAGCTGAGAAATTATGATTCCTCCACCGAGCTGCTAAATTTTCTTTTTGATATTCTGCTGATTATATTCCTATAATTTGATTTTTTAAAATAGTTAACACTTACATCAGTATTACTTTTGTTTTGGTGCAAGAGGTGAAGTCAACTTTCTTTTTTTCTAAACAACTACCTAGTTATCACTACACCTTTTGTTAAATAATTCTTGTCATTCCTTTTAGAAAGACAAAAATTTGTGTTTTAGAAAGCTTGTTTTGCCAATATTAAGTTTATATATGTATATATATATAGTCACGTACATACATATATATGTATGTATATATATTAGATCTCTGTCTGAACTCTCCATTTTGTTCCACTGATATATTTTTCCATTTCCATTCTAATTTAAATATTACCTTTTGATAGAGGCTAGTATCTCTTGGAGTTAGATTACCCTTGTTGAATTTTTATGGGTGTGTGTCAGGTCTCCACTCTCACTCAATCTACCAACAGCCCCCACAAAAAAATCTGCCTTTTCAAAAGTTTTTGTGCTTTTCACTATGAAGTTCCTATATATCTGTTGTTACTCTTATTCCTAAGTATTCCTAAATATGCTGCACATTTTGTTTTTATTGTGAATGCAGTCTCTTTTTCAGTATGTTTTCCAGTTGGATGCTATTAATAATGTCCAGGATTACTACAATTCTTTGGAACTTTGAACCTGATCATTTTGCTTAACTTTTATTAATACTAGTATGATTTTGTTGTCAATGATAATGTTTCTTTGGGATATTGGGTGCATGCAAGTCTTGTTACCTTCTTTTCTTATGAGAAGAACTCTTTCAAAGAACCTATCAGCTGACCTATAAGAGCAGTTGGCTAAAATGCCTGGAACCCAAGCCAGCCAAGGCAAAATTTGGCTTTCTGTCCCTCCTCATAGAGATTAAATGAGCAAATGAAAGAATTTATGTTTATTTTTCTTTCTTTTTCAAATGCTCTGAAAGAGAAATAATGGGAATGAGTGTGTCTTCTGTAAGCAGTAATAACAACAAAATGAAAATGAGTTTATAGTATAAAGTGCTTTGAGACTGCCAGTTGATACAGCTTTATTATTTATTAGCCATGAGTGGTTTGATTTCTTGCCTGCCTCCTAGTATGTGGTATCTCCGACCTTCTAGGGAAGTTGTTTTATCACAGCATCAAGGATAAAGCACAGGGTCACTGCTTGTGTTTTCTGAGTTGAGGGGGAAAGTTATGTGTGTTACAGCAGGTGGAGAGAATGTTTACCAGTGTGGTCTGTTTCTGGACAGCTGCAGAGCTGTGATAAGCCACCAAGAGTGGTGGTTGTCATCCCTGGAGGGAGATGGCATGAACCCCAGTCCTCTTAGGGTGTCAGGGAGCCTGAGCCCAAAGTTCAGTGAGAGAATGGCTGCTTGGATAGTGGCAGGGCTGTAGTTCATGTTTTGGGCTGATTAACTGCACGCTGGATAGTACGATACTTTCTTATAAGCACAACACAAAACCTCATTTTTTCAGAAGCCACACAACCTCACTGTACCAGAGTTTTGTCATCAATAAAGAATGGTGAAAACATATAAGGTAGAATAAGGCTTAAATGTAGTGATGTGTAAGTGATGGCACAGTGTTCAGCACATAGTAGGCATTCAATACATTGTTATAAAATGGAACTTCTTAATTGCTTGGCTTCTCCTCTGGTCATTATATATAGCTATAGTGGAGATGGTTTGACTTGGAAATGCTGCCTAAAGACATAAGTGGGGGAAAACACACACACACTGATTAGTTTCTCTCACCTGTCCTGAATGTTTTTGGAAACATGACAGCAGAACCTGTGGACATTAGGGTCTGCACTCCCTGCCGAAGAGCCTCTTGAATTCTCAGAAACACAAACTGCTAAGGTTTACTGACCTTCCGGCCCAGGGCAAGCCCCATTCAGTTTGGCTGTTCCTAACTGATCATAGCTTTGTTGAGTAAGATGAACTGCTTTGGTTCCTTGTGATTTGTTAATGGTCTTATACTTGTGCTTGAAGGCATTTTGGCCACTTTAAAACCACAAACAAATAATTTGCTTCCCTTTAGGCCTCTTGCCCAAACAGTGAACACTGGTAGGGTATCCTGAGCTTTTTTTTTTTTTTTCCCAGTGGACACAAAGACAGTGTGAGTCAGTCATCTGGTTTAAAATCAGTTTTATTTGAAAGTTTTATGAAGCCTGGGGGAATAGAAATATCTTTAATATAAAAATCAGGGAAATGTTCCCTATAGCAATCTTTTAAGTTTTCCCTAAAGAGTAGGCAAAACTAAGCTAGTTCAGTCTTCAAGAACAAAACAGTGAAATTTAACTCTGTCAGTTTATAATGTAGGTTAAGTGCAAGAGGTTAGACAGACAGTATGACAGGTGGAAGAGCAGAGGTACTAGCTGCAAATTTTGATACTGAAAATTAACAGGAGGAAAGAATGGAAAGAAAAAAGTATACCCATGTATGTAAATCTATTTTTTTAAAAATTTGCCCGTCTTAAGTTAAAGAAAGCTTGCTTGATCCTCTTACTCCCAGATTAAGTCCTGTATGCTTTCAAACTTGAATTTTATTTTAAGTATCCTTTGAGCAATACCTGGGTGCTCTCTTGCATTTGCCTGTGATAGATTTGCCTAGAATTAACAATAGGTGTTTAGGGAGTAATGCTCTGAGGTGTTTGCCCTGGCATGTACATTCATTCCTCAGCCAGGGTCTTATAGGCTTGGAGCTCTTTGAGGCTAGGGGACTGGGGTATCTATTTCAGTGATGATTAACGTCCAGAGTGGTGAGATGGACACAGATAAGCAGAGTGTGTTTGTTTGTTTTAAAATGATTGTGCCTAAGAGCATTTTTTGGCCCAGAAAGCATAAAGTTTCCTTTCCTAACTCTGAACAGAAAAGGCATTGCTGACTGGTTACATTTAAGGCCTGAACAGTGATTTTTAGAAAATAATTAGCAACTTAAAGTAGCTTTGGCTACTTGATTTCTCCTTCACCTTTCTGCCTTACCTAGGGACAAGAGTCACTTACTTGTTCTCTGGTTCATTGAAAGTTTTCACGTATGGATGTACTTATTATCTTCAACCGTTTTGGAAAGGCTTTATTTTTAGTGGTTTTGTGAGTTAATAAAAGTGAGTTCAGTTTACATGCTTAAACTAAATAAAACAATACACCTGTGGAAGCAGGAAATGGTCTAGTACAGTCAGTACCTCCTAATGCAAACCGGAGAAATGGAAGAGGCCTTTTCCTCCAAGACTGTGAGACTATAGAAGCTACTTATATCCTTCCCAGTCTTGTAAACCTTGAATAGCAGAGGATGAATTTCCTAGCTTTCAAGGCAGAATCCTGGAGAAACCCAAAGTCCTCACAGTTTACAAGATGAACAATTCACA